TTATGAGTGTTGAGAAGACAGGAGATAGTCTATATACAAGGAGAAATAAAAATGTGTTATTGTACACATTAAATTATTGAGAAATTCATCAGAAAGAAGAGTTTTGAACACACCTCAATAAAGAACGTTCAATATTTTAGGGGTTCTTCTGATGAAGTTGAAGCTTAAGTTCCAGATTCACAAGCAACCTGGAGAAAATAATTGCTTTAACGCCAAAAAAATTGGGGAATTTTCTAATGTAATTTGACACACATTAACGTGTTTATATGCTTTTTTTATATTAAAAATTGTTTGAAAATAAATACTAAATGCTATTTATGTTTGAGATATATATATATATATATATATTATAAATTAATTGATTTAAAATATGGTTATTTTCGCTACACAGTTCCAACCATGTTTCAAAAATAGAAGCTAAAAACCCCTAATTTTATTTTTGCAAATAAATTAAAAGCATTAGTTCTATTTCATCTTCAAGCGAATTTTGGAGTAACTTTTAAAATTTACCGGGTTTTAAATACACAGCTAAAATCACGTTTCCATGGTTACAGAATATTCTACTCAAATTGAACATGGGGTGTCTAGATTTTCCTTATGACAGTATCATTGTATCAGTTATTAGCTACATTTTGGTAAGGGGTGAGGATGTATTTTACACTGAAACCTGACGTCGGTTGAATGGATGTCGTCTGAATTTAAAAAAAAATAATAAATATATATATATATAATATCTATAATAAATATATATAATATATATATATCTATAATAAAATATATATATATAATATCTAAATTAAAAGTTTAAAAATTGTAATTTATATATACTTTGATAGAAAAAAAAATTTTTTTACTTACTATGAGTAATTATCCTTCTGTTATAAAGTAATATAGTCTAAATTAAAACTAACAATGAAAATATTTTAAAATTTTAAAGTTATAATTTTAAAATTTTAAAATTGAAATAAAATTGTAGTAAAATAAAATGAATTCTAACATGTTATTTATACATACATATGAAACTTTATTAATTAGGTTACATATATTTGAAATAAATAAATTAATTAATAAATAAATAAAGTTTACTAAATCTGAGAAATGACTTAGCTTTTTTGTAGTAAGTGCCATTAATATTACTTAAATAAATTTAATATTTTAAAAAAAAGAAAAAAAAAAAAAAAAAAAAAAAAAAAATTTATATATACTTTGATATGGAAAAATAATCTTACTTAATATGAGTAATTTTCCTTCTGTTATAAAGTAATATAGTCTATTAAAACTAAACAATGAAAATATTTTAAAATTTTAAAGTTGTAATTTTGAATTTGTAATTAAAATTGTAGTTAAATTGAATGAATTCTAACCTAAATTTCTTTTAAATAATACTACACGCATTAAAAAAGAATCCAAAAATAACACCTATAGTAAAATAAAATTAATATGAAATACCATAACATGTAAGCTTTTGAATGACCCATGTCCTCAGTACTTACATGTGAAATATTATAATAATAGGTTTATATATAAAAAAAAAGTTTACTGAATCAGTGAAATTAAGTAACCATTTTTGCTGTCATAGTCATAAACAAAAAAAAAAAAAAAAAAAAAAATGTAACCTCATATACATACTTAAACTTAATGTTAAAATAATCCTACATAATATAATGGATTCTAATACATTTAACTGTTCTTAAAAAGAATATAGTAAAATAAAAATTAAAAAAGGAAAATATTTCAAATCGTAGTTAAATAAAAAGTATAAAAAAAAAATCTTTAATTTTAAAAAAGATGACGTTGAAAAATTTTTACCGTTAACAATTTTTTTTTTTTTTTTTAAAAAAAAAATTCAGACGACATCCATTCAACTGACGTCAGGTTTCAGTGTAAAATACATCCTCACCCCTTACCAAAATGTAGCTAATAACTGATACAATGATACTGTCATAAGGAAAATATAGACATCCCGTGTTCAATTTGAGTAGAATATTCTGTAACCATGGAAACGTGATTTTAGCTGTGTATTTAAAACCCGGTAAATTTTAAAAGTTACTCCAAAATTCGCTTGAAGATGAAATAGAACTAATGCTTTTAATTTATTTGCAAAAATAAAATTAGGGTTTTTAGCTTCTATTTTTGAAACATGGTTGGAACTGTGTAGCGAAAAAAACCATATTTTAAATCAATTAATTTATAATATTAATATATATATAAATTTACATATATACTATTTTGTAAAAATAAAATATCTATAAGAACACCGGATTTTATATCTTACTGTTCTTTCTTTTTATTTATATACACATATATATATATATATATATATATATATATATATATAATGAGTTTAATACCAATATTTAGTCTGTTTCATGATTGAACACAATCTTCAGGCCATATGTATTGTTTTGACTTGACTGTATATGCTGGTCAATGATGCAATATGGGTGTAAGGTCTATTATCCTAAAAGTTATTGAGTGGGAAGCAATGGTTATGTTTGAAATTTGAGGCTATTGAATAAAAATAATTTTGGTTCTAAATGCAGTTCATTGTAGTTAATTTAGTGTCATTTGTTAACATTTTATTGATTACTTGTTGATTCTTATTACTAAGGATGGGCTATCGAGACCAAATCTTTCAAAAAAAAAAGTAGGGAAGTATTTTATTCCACTCATGTGTGTATGACTAGAAGGAAATGGGCCAAAATTTTGAAAATTGGGATGGAGCCGGGCCTAAACATGCTCAAACCTGCTTGGGGTCCAAAAAAATCACTAAAAATGACAATGTATTTCACACAACTTAAAAAGTGAGCCACAGGCCGTGCTGATTTTGATTCAAATGATTGAATGGTTATAAGTTGTTTCTACAAAACTTGCGCAGAAATTAGGAAAATATTTTTGATCTTTTAAGCAACAATAGGCTGATTTGGGGTAAAATAACTGCCCTCATGACAGGTTCAGTTTCCAAGAATTTGGAGATTGAAAACTTGGTAGCTGTAACCCTCCTGTCACAGCACATACTCCTACATCATCTTTGTATGAGCCACACTTGTGAGGTGTTTCACACAGGGAACCTATCTGTTCTGAAGCATGTAGAGAGGGAGAAATAAAACGATGACATCTTTGAAATCTTTCCTGGCTAAAGATTTAATCCTTGCTGTAATTGATACATTTTGTAAACTTGTATCAAATTATGGTCATAAAACATCAATCTATAAGGAATTTGATGACATTGAATAAAGCTGATAAAAAGAAAAAGGTTGCATTATATAAAGAAAGACGTTTTTGTCTCCTTGGATATAGTGCTGCTGCCATACTTTACCTTTTTGATCATCTAAAGAATATTGTTTCAGATACACCATCAAATAATCAACTGGTACAGGCATCTGGATTGTACCTTGAAGTGGAATATATTGACTGTGCTTTAAGATGTGTGGCATAGTTTACTTTCAAAGTCATGATGCCATTTTTAAACATGTGTGAGTTGGAATCACCAAAAACCCTCTTGACCATTCTTCCCGCTCTTTATAATGGCCTGAGATGTTCCGATATGAACACTTTTGCCTGATAGTGTGTCTCAATAGAATGTAATGTTGAAGTATTCAGTGATTTCAGTTCAAAATAGTCAATTTTATCTGTTTTTCCTGAAATTTGGTCTATTTCCACTCCAAACTGTGTAGACTCAATATTGTGTATGTGAAATTGTGAATTTCATTATTTGAATCATTTTGATGAAGATTTGTTGGTGAATATTGATGTTATTTGGACTGTTGTCATTTTTAGTGATTTGGGCAGGGATAGGTCTGGGCATGTTTTGAGCCTGCTCCATCCCCATTTTCAAAATTTTGGACCATTTCCTTCTATTTAGACACAAATGAGTGGAATAAAATAATTTTTTTTTTGAAAAATTTGGTCCCTATAGACCACCCCTAATGTAAAATTTACTTGTGTTTATACCGTGTATTCAGAGTATGTTAATTTGTTCTTAGTTAATTTAATTTTTTTTATTTTAATTATATTTTTTTGTGAGGGTGTTGGTTATCGTATTGGCTTTGTCTAAAGTAAACAAAATATACATAGGAGTAACAGGTGGAGTCTGGAAACAGAAAACGCATGCAAAACCTCCTTTGTGAATACTAAATACGTGAATAGCACCATGCTTTCTATACATATATGGGAAATTAAAATCAAAAATATAATGGAGAATACAAAAAACAATAAGCCTACAACAAAAAATCAAGAAGCTGTAAATTTTGTCTGGAAGGGAAAATAGCTATAATCACCTTCCCAGACCAAAACAAACTACTAAATAAATGGTCAGAACTTATCTCAAAATGCAAACTCGAAAAGAAAAAAATTTTTTTTTAAAAATTGAAATAAAAATAAAATACATCATAAAAAATAGGTTTGATATAACATTGCTACCACCCCTGAAAATGGGTGGTATTAAGTTGTTAAATATGAAGCTATGGGCAAATAGTTAATTTCTGAAAAACTGATTAAAAAAGCATTATAAATTTTGTAACTATTTTTTAATACTTGAAATACTTTGTTAAAGAATTATTACCTGAAATAAATTTTTGAAGAAAAAGACTATTACTATTTTTGAAAAAAAAAAAAAAATATATTACCAGCTATACATTTTGAGGAAAAAAATATTATAAGAAATAGATTTTTGACAAAACAAAATATTACCAGAAAAAAAATGTTGTCAGCATTAAATAACCCATTGAGGCGTTGATATGCTGTAAAACACAATAAACCAAACCATCATGTTTGCTATGTTGATCAATTAAATTATCACCCTTTTTTTTTTTTTTTTTTCTATAAAAATATATTTATAAATGTATGTTATTTGTGTCTTGTCCCAACTTTTTTTTTTCCTTATGCCTATATAATCATAAAGTAATATTAGTAGCAGTGAAGCTAGTGTGCTTATTGCTTATAAGTTATGGCCACTGTAGGTATGCTTAATCAATCTTATTTTTTTTTTTGCTTTGCAGGTGCCTGTGAAGGAACAATGGCTTGTTCTACATGTCATTTGATTTTACCAAAAGACTTCTACAACAAATTACCTTGTCCCCCGTCTGATGAAGAGCAGGACATATTAGATATGGCATTTGGATTAACAGACACGTAAGACAGATTTTGTTATTTGCTTTACAATAACATGTCTAAGTGCTGATAGAGGAGGCACGGTGTTGTAATGGATAGTGGCTCCAATTGAGGAATTGGAGAGCCGAGTTCAAATTCCAGTCGAATTCCTTACATTCACTTACGTGCTAATACCCTTGGGAAAGGTATGAATCCTCTTTGTGTCACTGAGCTGTCGGCCTGTGGTCAACTCCCAGTTGTGGCGCGAAGCTGTAAGGTTTCTTCCACTGGCATTTTGGGGTTGACTCTTAGTTGCTGCCACCAGCCTGTGTCTCGATCGATGGTCGTCACTACCCGGCGGAATCCCTTGGTCAGGATACCAATATGTGACACTGGCCCGTTCAGTGAGGGGAAGTGGGAGGAGAGTTAGCCTCCTAAACTCTTCCTCTCTCACATTGATATCTCATACCAATCACTTCAGTTGATATTAATAACTTTTCCGTCTTTCTCATTCATTTATCTCTGACAATCACCATTTTATACCATTTTGATTAATGGCATCCTGGCCAAGACAAATAATGGGTGTGCTTAAATAATGGGCTCCTTAAAATTATAACCCAGAATTTTCGTTTACAAAATTCTTCACCCTCCCCCCCCCATCAGCCAGAATTTTTACAAATCCCACATTGCCACTTAAAATCTATCAGATCTTTTGGTCATTCAGAATCAACTTAGTCTGCACTCTTTACAAATTCCATCAAACACTGTCAAAGTTTGCCATCTGGTCCCTTCATGAAGTTAGCTTTTACTGGAACCCTTGTTTTCTTGAGAAATTAAATTCTGTACCTCCCAAATCTTGATTCTTCTATGCTATCTTTCTCATGCCCCAAATTTTCACAATTACCATATGGCTTTGCCTTCCCGGTACTCAAGAGAAAAAAAAATAACTGATATCTTGGAAAGATAATTAATATTGATTCTCCTTACCCCGTATCAGCAATCATCTCAGGTCGAAATTTTTATGACCGCCATGTGGTCTGCCTGATATCTTAATGCTTTGCTTTCTTTCCAAATTCTCATGTTCCCCTTTCTTTACAACAATATCAATCAATTTGACAAAATCTCACATATGGCTTTTTCTACGGTTCTACTGTCTTTTGTGAAAAGTAACATTGAAATAAAATCAAATCTTTTTAATATTGAATGTTATCTTTCGGGCTATCCTCTCTCTGTTTCCAGCATTTCCTTGTTTAATTTTTATGGTTAATTAGTTAGCCAATTACCATAGCTAAACAGTGTCACATCTTCTTCTCCCTCCAGCTATGGGTAAGTAGCAGGACAGAAAGGGTTCTATTGCCTTGTATGGCAACTGGTCTACTGCAGAAAGAAATGGCAACCTACTGCTGTTAAAAATCTGCCTGGTCAGCTCTGTAAATGGGGACTGGTTTCGAGAGTGTAATCTGTCAATGGTGACCATCTTGGGGTGCACAGTGTGTAAACTTTCACTTTTCAAAATAATCTACAAAGTTTGTTTTTTTTTTTTTTTTTTTTTTTTTTTTTTTTTTTTTCTTTTTTTTTTTTTTTTTCTTTCCCTCTCTCTCATCTTTTCTTTCCCTCTCTCTTTTTTTTTTCCCTTTCTCTCTCTCGAATTTTAAATCTCTCTCTTTTTCTTGATTCATTTTTAGTTCTTTCTTTTTTATTCCTCTCTCTCTCTCTTAGGATTCTCTCTCTCTCTTTTTTTTCTCTCTTTTTTTTTTTCCAAAATTTTTCTTTTAATATTTTCTTTTTCTATATGTCTGTATCTCTGAGATTGAGGTATTATTATTTACATTATTTGGACTCCTCTTCATTACAGTACTCACAATGTTTTGATCATTGTATGCTCCGGCCTTCTTCAGGTGATTGGTACCAACACTGATTAGATCCAGTGACTAGACTCAGTTGTGAGTTCAATACCAGGCTACAGCAGTGGTGAACCAAAATACTTGAAGAGTTAAAGGGAGATAACTGAGGCATCCAGGAGAGGCATGGCACGTGGTACTAGAACAAACTATCCCAGTGGACAAAATAAAAGGTTCAGTTCAAAATTCCAATCACCTGAAGAAGGCTGGACTCTACAATGGCTGAAATGTTGTGAATATGGCAATGAAGATGATGATAAGTCTGAAAAATGTAAATAAAATTAATGAAAAATTTACATAAACTATTTTCCATTTAAAATAATCCCAATGTTCATGCTTGTTTCTGAAAAAAATCCACACACAATTTTTTTTTTTTTTTTTAACTAAAGTACAAAAAACAAAATGCAGAGATTAATAATTTAAGTACCATTACAAACTTGACAAATACCAGTGAATTGGCTGTCAAATTATACCACTAATGGTGCTTGAGAAATTAATAAGGTTAGTTGTATTTATTATGCTCCAATCAATAGCTAACCTCACAAAAGTTTGTTTAAATTTGGATAATTGAGTTAAAATATATTTATCTCATGATTTTTCAAATGAACAATTATCATTATACATCCTCCCTATTCTGACTGGTTGTTCATCTTGGTTGCTATATTTACAAAGTTTCTGTCATTTTCTTCAAGTGTCTGTTGTACTTGTATAGTAAATTCCTTTCTGACTGGTTGCCAAGTTAGATCAAAGGTCAACTTGTTCTTAAATTATTCAAAATGGCTAAACAGACCTTATTAACTTATGCAGAACTTATAAATTCACTTACAATTATTTTTTTTTTTCTCTAATTTCAGGTCACGCCTTGGCTGTCAGGTTTATGTTACTGAAGACATGGATGGCTTAGAAGTGAAAATACCAGTTGAAACATCAGATGTAAGAAACATTTCTTAGGCAGATTATCAGAAGAGTAATAAATTTTTCTGTCATTAAATCACATCAAAATAAAAAAAATTTATCCTAAATAATCAGAATCTGACAATGTTGAATGAGTAAAAGAAATGGCTATTGCTGTGGCTTAATTACAATAAAGACAATCTATCTTAAAGACTTGTTTGTGTTTTTAATATTACACAAGAACAGGAGTATCTAAAATGATTGGTATCAAATGCTCATCATGAGGGTGGAGACATTTTTTCAAAGGATCTAATCTAACTGATTTAATCATGTAAGCACGTCAATAATGAATAATTGTATAGAATGAAATGGCAACTTCTGTCATTAGCAGAAATGCTTCCATGTTGCATGCAGTTTTTGTTAAGAGAAAACAAATAGGAGGTTGGGGTCTTTACATTGGGCAAGGCCAATGTTGTGGATAAGTGAACATGCAAATGTATTTCACTCTTGGCCAATTATTACACATCGGGAACTTTGAGTCAAGTAAACCGCTTTCAAAACTAGTACTTTTTCTGACACAGTTAATTTTCCTGTGAGTGGAGTGAACCTTACATCTTATATATATGTGTGTATTTAGGCAGCAATCCTTCTTTCATGCAAGTTTCATTAAATATGACAGACAAGATGCTTTGTTATATATATATATATATATATATATATATATATATATATATATATATATATATTTTCTCATGAAACTTATTTTTTTTCTTTTCAGTAGATAAATTTTATAAAATATCCAAATTTTATATTTTTCTGAGCACTTTTGGCTATACATTTAGCCATTTTCAAGGTTGAAATATATTAACTGTTAACTAGAAATAGATTGTATGTATTTATATGATGTTTCATTTTCAAAACACTGAACATATTGTATCCATGTTCATAGTTGATATTATTGAGTGTTGAATTTTTTGTTTTTATTACTAAGGCTTCCGTTATTTTTAGCCTTTTTATTTTTTATTTTTATTTTTTTTTTTAAATATATGTAGACAATGCTATAATATTTATTTGTATTATCCACAAGTATGTTGTGTATAGGGTCCAGTAGGTTGCTATAAGTATTTAGTTTGAGACGTAATTGAACTATGGTCAGAAAGATGTAGCATGAGTCATCTTGTTAAACATGTGGTGTGGCCAATATAATTATTTACAAATTTTGATTGCTCAGGCACACAATTCCTTAATGGACATTTCAATTTGTAAATAATATTTGTTCTATTTAATTTTGATCTAAGGTGAATTATTTTTAACTATAAGATTGGCAGTTTTAAATTTTCTGTAATAAATAATTAGTCTAATTTTTTCTCAAAAAATAACTATGAACATGGCCACAATGTGCTACCTGTATTCAGAAAATAAAACATCCCTAAAATTCTAAAAACATCCACACAATCCATACACCCAATTAAAAAGCAGAAATAAAATCAGCCTTGATAATAACTAAAAGTATAGCCGAAAGTGCTCGGAATTATAGAACATTTAGACAGTTGGGAAAATCCTGTTGTTTTTATTTTTGGTCTATTACGGGTTACATTATCATCTGAAATTTGGCTACTATCTATGATTTCCTTAAAGTTCTTAAGTCTACAATATACTAGAAGATAGGGTCCCTCAAACAAAGTTTTTAGGTCTGGTTTGAGATGTAGTATTTCCCAATGACTTTTGAATATCTGAGATAGTGGAGGAAGAGTAGTGTTGAAAGTGTTTACTAGAAGGATGCATCTGGATTTATTTTTTAATTTTATACATTAGGGTGTTTTCTCTAGTTGTGCAAATTGTTTTATTTATTTGTTCCCTGATTAAGCATTGTTTATAGCCATGTGTTTGGAATTGATGCTCAATGTTTTTAATGTGTTTATTTAGAAGGATATGTTCTAACAATGAAGAACTGAGTCTAAGTGCTTGCAAATAGGGAAGGTTCTTGAGGTGTATTGGGTGGGAAGATTTAAAACTACATCAAAAGTATGACTCTGAGTTTCATGTTCAATATGCATGTGAGGTTGTTTGTATCTATATTTATTTAATTTAGATGCATATATATATATATATATATATATATATATATAAAGAAATATGTTGTAGTGGTTCCAACGAGAGAAAAGTATGTATATTAAAAAGAAGAGGGGGTGCCGCAAAAACGTTTTTGGTTGTAATGTGGATTTATTGAGAAAAAATATTATACTTTGTTTTACATAATTTCACGACACGTGTTTCTGGTCTGGTCTGTAAACCGTCTTCAGGTGAAAGTGGAGATTTTTACATATTATTAAAAAAATAATTAATTTTTCTTCATGTTCAATGTGGAATATTCTCGATATGAGACATTCTGTTTGTGTGTTGGCAATCCGAATTTTCTTTCTAGAATTGTCAATGAAGAGTTCTGCGTGAAGGGTCATAAAACAATTAAGGTTTGTCCAGCGAGTAGTTATCGGCATTTAATCTTTTAATGTTTTAGTGACCTCTATGTGCTCTTGGATCTGTTTCTATTTTGGCGTGTTCCTGTCAGCATGCGTGTATATATGCGTGCGTATATTTCCTTACTACGAGGAATCAGTAAACTTATTTGTACTCATACACGCATACACACACATACGTACATACACACTATCCCACCACAAGTAGTCAGTACACACACACATATACACACATATTTCCCAAGCTACATGGAACTAGTACACACACACACACACACACACACACACACACACGTACTTCTTAAGTTGTCAACATCCGCATATACATACATAAATGTATGTATGTATGTATGTGTACATACACATATATATATCTCCTCGTGTCTCCCGTATATGAGTGTGCGTCCATGTATGCGAGCGATCATTGTATTTTCACCCTGTGTGCATTTTTTTTTTTTTTTTTTTTTTTTGTGGGGGGTTATGATCTATTCAGTTCGGGTTTGAATTTGTCTATAAAGTTTTTTTCCTGTATTTGTAGATACGAGTAATTGTCTGTTTGATATATCGGCATGATATTAAACTTACCCTGGTTACATTTGAAAATGTGTTGTGATACAAAAAGTTTTCTGTTGTCTGTCAATTTTATATTGCTTTTGTGTAGGGAGACCCTGTTGTTTAGTTGTTGGCTGATGCCTATATATGACTTCTTACATTTTGTGCATTTAAGTGCATAAACTACATTTTTGGAGTTGCAGTTTAAGTTTTTTGTTTATTGTGAATGTTTTTTTGGGTTTTCAAAAGTGTAGGAGTTTCCTTCTATAATGATGTCACAAACTCCACATCTTTTTTTTGTTGCATTTTGTGACTCCCTGTATTTTGTGTTGACTAAATTTAGATGAGGTTAATATGTGTTTTAGGTTTCTAGATTGGCGTTTGCTCTTAATTATTTTGGTTGTTTTTAGTATATTATTCAGTTTATTATTCTTGCTAAGTAAATCTAGATTTTTTGTGATTTCTGGGAATATTTCTGGGTTGTTTTTGTTGTACGTTGAGACATATGCTAGAGTTTATTCGACGTTCGTTTTTTTTTTTTTTCTAAGTTGGTCTAGAGGAATTTCTTTCGCTGAGTTCAATACCTTTGTTTATTAGTGTTGTGGGGTAGCCTCGTTTCTTGAGAGTTTTATGTAGTTCTTCTAAGCGGATTTTTCGGAGATGTTTATCAGTCACTATTGTACAAATTCTACGTGCTAGGGAATAGGGGATGGATTTTAGGCAGCTTTTTGGGTGATGGCTCTTGAAATGAACGTATTGTTGGGTGTCTGTGGGTTTGTGGTAGATATCTGTGATTATGTGGTTGTTTTTATTTCTAATGAGTATATCTAAAAATGGTAATTCGTTAAAATTATATTCTTGCGTGAATTTGATTTTTTGGGTGTAAGTTTTGAAGTAGTGTATGGAATTGGTTAATATCACCCCATGATGATTTCCAAAAGATGAAGCAATCATCTAGATATCTTTTCCAAGATTTAGTGAATTGGGTCTTTATATTTGTCCCATATATTTGTTCTATCTTTTCATAGAGGTTTTCTTCTAGGTAAGCTAATGTTAGGGTGGCATATGTTGGTGCCATTTTTGTTCCCATCGCAGTACCTAGGGTTTGGATATAGTTTTTGTTGTCAAATTCAAAGGTGTTGTTGTTTAGAATTAGGTCTATACTATCGATAATGAACTCTTTAGTGAATCTCGGATGTAGTATTTCTGGATGTTTTTCAATCCAGAATGAGATCGCTTTTTTCCCTAGTTCATGGGGTATGTTACTGTATAGGCTACTGATGTCAAAAGTTGCCATAAGCGTTCCCGGATCTACCTTTTGTGGTATGCAGCTAAGGAAATGGATATCGTCTCTGATGTGGCTTTTAATTTGTTTAGTATATGTTTTGCAATATTATGTCTATTAGGTTACTGAGTTTGCTAGTGGGACAGACTGGTCCTGCTACTATGGGTCTGAATGTAAGGTCACTGGGGTTTGGGATGCTAATGTATTCAGATTTTTGTGTATGTATAGCTGCTTTTATTTCACTCGATTTATGAACTTTAGGTAGTCCTATATATATATATATATATATATATATATGCATGCATCTAAACTATTGAATTATTTTAAAATTATTATTAAATATAGAGACATATATATATATATATATATATATATATATATATAATGTCTCTACCTTAATAATAATTTTAAAATAATTCAACAGATGTGTAGTGAACGAGATAATCAAATACCCCGGAAAAAAGTTCGTGTTTTGTGTGCGATCTGCCGGGGAAGGATTGCCAAAAAGTAGTCAGCAAAACTCTTATAGCGACTTACCTCGTCAACCCAAGCGACAGCGCGTCGCGTGTATTCTGTGACGAAAAAGAAACAAGTCCGTTGCAGGAGTCGCTATAAGAGTATATTAATATGCAAATTACGGAGCATCCTATCCCGGCTGTTGACGAATGGAAAAAATAGGTTCTGCCGATAAAAGCAGTTGGTGTTTTCGACTCGGGGAAGGAAAATTCGGGCATTTTTGGCTA